TCTTCCCCTCTGATATATATATATATAGAGTTGTGTTGGTCATATTTATACTTAAGTTCAAATGATATATATATATATATAGGTGTGTGTATATTTACATATATGTATATAGAATTGAATATATATATATATATACATACCACTCACACTAAACAAAATGATAGAGTTTGAAGAATATATATATATATAAAATGGCTTCTCACGCCCCAAACATGGAATTCAGAAAGCATATATATATATATACAATGGATGTCTTGAACATTTCCAGGACAAGGAAATATTATATATATATATATAATCATGTTTCTGCTTTCAGAGAACTGTTTCCTCAATGGGATATATATATATATATTACTACAGAATGTTTTACTAATCAGGAATGTTATCTCTATAGAAAATTGACTAAATCTTGGTTTATGATTAGTTGGTTTTGACTGATGAAAGATATATATATATATATGTATCACTAGTACACAGCATCGGAAATAATTTTGGAACATATATATATATATATGCTGTTCTAGCATGATCTTTGCCTCTACTCAGCTAGCTATATATATATATATAGGTAACTTCACCTCTGTAGATCTGTTTCCTTCTTAAAAAATATATATATATATAATACAACTTTCAAGTTGTGTTGGTGCCCCAAGAATCACTATATATATATATATAGTGCTCAATTAATCATGTTTTCTGAGGTCGGAGACTCTTATATATATATATATAGAGCCCACTTGTGAGGGTCAAGTACAGAAGGCAAGTCTGAGTGGCAATTTTGTTTGGCCTATTGGCTGTGTTGTGACTGTGTTCATGCCAGACATATATATATATATATAAAGAAGCCCCTCTAGATTATTATTATTATTATTATTCATATATATATATATACCAACTGAGGCTCTTTTTCCAGAAGAAAAAATAAAGACAATATATATATATATAATGACTAGTAATGATAAAGGCAGAGATTTTTTTTTTCATATATATATATATATAATTTCTTAAGACTTCTCCAGCAACTGCTTCGTTACGAGAATATATATATATATATCTTTTACATGTTTGTGAGATCATCTGATCTGAAAGCACATATATATATATATAGGCTGGTTCCTCAGAAAACCAAATATCATCCAAACCAAGACTTCTGTCCAGAAAATCTGAAAGCAGATGTTACTCAATCTAATTTCTGTAAGTTTTAAGATAAAGTTTTAAAAATCCAGCCGGATTTTGCAGGCAGTGAAACTATTCATATATATATATATATGGCAGATAACATGCAATTATACATTTGTCTGACAGCATATATATATATATATATAGAGTGAACCCTAATGTAAGTTGTGGACTTTGGGTGGTAATTATGTGTCACTGTATATTCATCAAGTGTAACAAATGTACCACTCTGGTGCCATATATATATATATAGGGAAGCTGTGGGGGTGGAGGAGCAGGAAGTATATAGGAATATATATATATATATGCTCAATTTTGCTGTGAACTTACATCTGCTCCAAAAGTAAAGCTTATTTTTCCAGGCACTTGAGTGGCTCAGTCGGTGAAGCATCAGACTCTTGATTTCAGCTCAGGTCATGCTCTTAGGGTCCTGGGATTGAGCCCCTCATCATGCTTCATGCTCAGCAGGGAGTCTGTTTGAGATTCTTTCCCTCTGCCCCTACCCTGATATATATATATATACTCTCAAAATAAATAAATAAATCTTGAAAAAAATAAAGTATATATATATATATACTTAGTCATGACTGCTTCTTTGTTTATTTGCCAGCAGAGATATATATATATATAATTGAATGCATATTTATAGAGTACCAACTATAAGTAGGAATATATATATATATAAGGCAGGAACCAATTCTGTCAACATTGTTTCTCTGTGTTAAGAACAGTGTCAGATACAGAGAAAGTATGAGTGTATTTAATTGAATGATGAATATATATATATATATATGCCTGGATGAATACAGACAGTGTGATAGGTGTTTAGGAATATATATATATATAGATATACAAGGTCTCTGTCCACACTCTCTTGGTAGAAAGATATATATATATATACTTTGGGTTGTGACTACCAACTTGAATGGGATTAAAGTGATATATATATATATAGTGTGTGCACGCACATTTGGTAGGCAGATAATCATACCTATATATATATATATACACAGATGACTTCCTAATTTTTCAAGAGACATCACAAATATATATATATATATACATGAATTAAGGAGGGCTGGTCATAGTTCAAAATATCTAGAGGAGATTGCCGAAATGGAGAGCAGAGCTCTTATATCCAAAGCGGGTAAGTGTATATATATATATATAATGTGCCGGGACTACTTATATTGCTGTTTTGGAAATGGGTAATCTCTCTCTAATGGTGCCAAAGGGAAAACTGTATCTGAACTAGTGCCAGTGATATATATATATATAGACTCTGTCGTATCCATGTGACAGATTCCCAGGAGGTGGATATATATATATATAAATTCTATTTAAGCAGTGTACAGGAAGGTGTATAGTTCCACTTTTAACAACTTTGTTTATGCTTCAGCTTAAGATTTCATTTAAACATGATTCATATATATATATATATTGAAAACACTAAGCTAGTTGTTTTTGTTGAGATTGTTGGGATTCCAGCTCTAATAGATATTCTAGCTCTAATAGATATTAGAAGAAACTCTAATATATATATATATATGTTTCACACAATCAAAACATTCTAGAATGTACTGACCTAACTTGTACCTTACTAACAAGTTCAAACTCCAACATTACCTCAATATTCTCCACATATATATATATATAGTGGTATTATTAGCTTTATTTTTCAGCTGGGGAAACTAAATATATATATATATAAGCTGGAAACAGACCAAGTGTCATACCCAGAAAGAGACAATATATATATATATATTGGAACTGACAGACTCTTTGAAGGCAGGAAATATGTCAATATATATATATATACTCCACATTTCCTAGCACTGTGCTCTGAATTTAATTGACATATATATATATATAGATAACACTATATTCTTGGAATGGAGTAAATAACATTGAATATATATATATATATAAATGATGACAAATGTATTGCTTAGCTGAATTTCTGTAATATATATATATATAAGCCAAACAATAGCTATAACTTTAAAAATAATTTAAAATATATATATATATATAAGTTAACACAAAGCTCAAGAAAATTTATCAAGCCAGTGAAACAAATATAAAACATAAAATTCTGGAAAAAGCTAGAATTTAGGAGACCACCAAATATATATATATATATTTGTGAGGATTCCAAGTTCACTGTCCAATTAATATTTGATATATATATATATAAATCATTTAACCATTTTCAAATAATGTTTATCAAGTATTATATATATATATATAGTAGTCATTCACTCACTAATGCATAAACATTTTAGAGTTATATATATATATATATTATGCTTCTCTCCAAGATTTTATGCTCGAGTCCAGTTCATATATATATATATATTGCAACAGTACAAAAGAAAGTCTGAGATTCTATACAATATATATATATATATACCTGACACCCAACTCTGAACTATTGTGGTTTATTCCTTCATATATATATATATAGTCAGGTACTTGACCAGGCACTGGTAATCTAAACCATGAATATATATATATATACACACACATATATATATTCTAATATACATATTCTA